GCCACAGGTGTTGAGTTTAGAGGTCACAGAAAGGTCGTTGGATACCAGCCTCCAAACGACGTCCGAACAGACTCAGATACAGATAATAGATTACACACAGTAAATAGGCATACAGACAGACAAGAGAATGAGTGTGATAAAGTACACTCTAGTCTCAAACAGAATAAACAGGTAGTACAGTCATTCAAATCACAGTTTGCAGGTGCAGAAACCAAGTTAAGCAACAGATGAGGGAAGTGGTACACTCACCAGTTCAAGTACAGGTACGTCAAAATTTTCACCCAAAGTGCCCTTAATCACCGTGAAACCCTAAGAATAACAAAAGTAAAGTAGTTGAAGTTTCCACATCCAAAACCGAGTAAACGGAATGCACAAGTGAGGCTCGATTACTAGTCGGGTGCCTCTCCAAGTTATATACGAGTACAAAAGAATAAAAATGTAATTTTTGAGCAAACAGATAACAGTTGGTACGAGGGTTACAAACAACCCCAAACCCCCTCATTCTACCACAATGCAACTCCAACTTAAAGGAATCAAACGGCCTAAAAAATTGGACAGCATTTCCCCCTAAATTTCCTTACTTTTCCAGCCATCATGGCTTCATTTTTTCTCAAATCAGCTCTAATGTCACACACAAAATAATCTCATTTCAATAGCCGTTCAATAGGCTCAATGTCGTACAAGTACAAAATCAAGTTAGGAAAATGTCTAAAAATGAAGTTTAAGCCATAAAACAAAAGACAGATTTGACGTCGCTTAGCGTATCGGACACAACCAAAGCTATGCTTATCGAATTGGTGTGCAATTTATACCATTTCGAAGGTAAGATAAAGGGATACAACTTTGATGAAGACCAATCAGTCCAGTTCGTAGTGTAACCAGATCAAAATTTCAAATTACAGAACCAGAATCCTACAATCAGGCTAGTTAACCATACTATGCTTAAACGACAATAATTTAGGCTATCGAAGTCTGATTGAGGTGCTTTCTGGACCGTTGGAAAACTAAGATATAGCACTACAACTTCTGTGTTTTGACCAAATGCTAATTCAGTACGAATCAGGGTGAACAGACGCGGTTAGATTGGTGAAATGTCAACACTGTCCACAGAGCTCTACCTATGGCAGTCAGGGGTATTTTTGTCTTTTTACATACTACAGTGCTCGGATTGAGTTAAAATTTTACAGGCAGCTATAAAACATTATTTTCTACAACTTTCATGTTTTAATCTAGGGCTGATTTGGCCTCCATCATGGCCGAACATAACCGGCCAGAACAAGGTAAGAAGAAACCCTAAACTGGAATTTCCGCACAAATTCGGAAATTCTCCGCAAACAACCGCAATTAATGCACAAAGGCTCCATTTAACACAATTTAGAGCTATCAATCTAAGGCCAACCATAACTATCATATGAAAACAGAAAAATTCCCAAAAATATCAGAAATTTATCTACTCCACTTTAATCCATGAAATTTTCCATAAAATAACCTATTTAGCCACCACAAGTTACTAATCTACCATTATTAGGAACAAAGAGTGAGTTTCCAAGTAAAATACCTTGACACCTCAAGAAAGGTAGTAGCTTAGGGGTTCTTCCTTCAAAACAACTCCACCAACCACTTTAATCCTTCCTAGCAAAGAGTTTTTATGGAGTGATTTGAGATGTTAATGGTTGGAACTCAAGATTTGGACAAGAATTGAAGTGGCAAAATGAAAGGTTTTCTCTCTTTTCTCTCTCAATGTGGTCAGCCAAGAAGGAAGAAGAAATTGGGAAATTTTGGTCAAATTTTTGGTATTTAGTAAAGGTAAGAAAGTTAGGCAAGTCCAACTTCCAATGATTTTGTAACAAATGGCACCTTAGGGTTTCATTCTCATCCTTTGTCTACCAATGGTAATTTATCTAACTAACCTCTAATTGTATCCTAATACCTTGTAAAATAATATCACTTGATACAAAACTCCAACAAATTGTCAAAAATATATCGCATTTACCTCACTAGCGGGTCCCACATCAATAATACACTTCAAACTTATCATGAACTAACTTAAACTAGGAAAATGGTTTAAAAGCTCTCTTCACTTATAAAATCTCTGGAAAATCGAAATAGTAGGATATAATGAAGAAAAATACACGCAAGGAAATAAAATAAATAAGATAAAATTAGGAAAATTTACGGGTCCTCACACATTTGGTGAAAAATGATTAGGATGATTTTTGATTTCTTGATTTGGTTTTTTTGTTAAAACCAACCTAAAAATAAAAAAATTAATTAATTAAAAATACACATTAAAATACAAGAAAAAAAATAACTCATTAAATAGATAAATATTCAAGAAAACTTTAAAATTTAACAAAAATTTGGTGTCTACAACTTGCCCCTCTTTGTCTAGAGTTTCGAAGAAATTCAAGATAAAGGCGTAGACACCAAATTTTTATTTGTTTCTTCTAACTGTACCTGAGCTGAAATAGGCAAGCCAGCATGTGGCTACAATTATTGAACAAAATGATGCAATGATATTGTAAAAGACGTGACCGAACTCATGTAGAGTTGCCTACGTATCCCATTATGGGAATCAGGTCAAACGTAGTTCGAATATAAGTAAATCACAATGAAACAAGTGCATTGACCATATGTGATCTTTGCAGAGTTGAAGAAGTCTGAACTCTAAGAACTTCTATACATGAAACACAAAATAACTGAAAAAGCACAATTATTAATCAATATAGCCAAGAAAAGTAGGTTGTCATAATTAGAAAAAAATGTGCGGAAGGACGCGGTTACGCTCCAAGAAGGGAGGTAGAAGGGTGCGCGGCGGACACTGAGACTCACCAACAGAAAATTAAATGTGATTTTCAAGAAGAGGAGGTAGAAGGGTGTGCGGCGGACACAGAGACTCACCAACAAAAAATTAAATTTGATTGTCAAGAATTTAGACTGTTCAGTGGAACTGCTCAAACGTCTAACAAGTAAATGAAGATATGTTTGAAACCTAGATAATTGATGGGATTAAACCCGAATCCAAATAACTAGCAGAAGAAATGAAAATGCAAGTTTGGTACTATTGAACTGAAAGATTAAAATGCATGTTACTCAAAAAACAATGACAAACTTACATGGTGGACTTACAGCATTCTTGATTTTTCAAACTTTAAAAGAAAAGAAATGATGATTTTTCTTTCCTTTCTTCGGGTCAAGCTTGGAATCCAATCCTTTTACAATTTGCCTCAATGTTAATTGTGCTAGACCGGTGCTGCATCATATAATTTCACCCGCGAAAGAAGAAAATAAACAACTATGATGCAAATACTGCCACCACCATATGATCCCTTTGCCTTGAGAACCGTACAAACATGAATTTCAATATCGACAAATTGCCTACTTAGATTCGGCCCGCAACCTTTCTCGGATCCCTGCAACTTTCTAGCATCAACTGTCCATACTTCATTATCATAGGACTTTCAATTTCATGACTCCTTTGGAATAAATTATAGAAGATTGTCTTTTGAATGAGATCCAATAAATGGGAAATATAAACAATTAAAAAATGTATTATTCATCATGCAATGATGCTGATATGAAATAAACAATGATACATAATAAATAAATAAAATAGTAAATAGAATAGCAAAACAAAATTGTTGAATTTATGAACGTGAATCCAAGGATCAAAAGTTGGATACATATTTAGAGGACGGCTTTTGATGAAGAAAAATGCTCCATCTGACCCCTTCGACGGCCTTCATTTTGGAATTCATTGTCGACAAAAGAACAACAGTATGAAAGAGATCCAAATCAACATAGTTACCAGCTTTCAGACTTCAACATCTTCTTCTTCGTTGATGATCCTCTTGTGTTCCAAAACCCTACCTTCCTTTCGGGTTTTCACTAAAGTCACCCCCACCCCATTTTTCTTTTTTTTCTTTTTCTTTTTTGTCTTCTTTCTTTTTTTCTTTTTGTTTTGTTTTGTTTTGTTTTGTTTTGTTTTTATTTTTTTATTTTTTTTAAGGTGCCCTTTCAGGTTTTCACCTTGAGATATAGACAAACTAATTTTAACTCCAACTGTATCAATCCAGTCATGTTTTGAGAATTAGTGGCATCAGTGAGACAACTCTCTCTGACATGTTTCAGAAAAATTGTATTTATATCATTTGCCAATTGATTAGGAAAAATTTTCCTCAAACTATTGCAAAAGATGAAAGTTGACAACTTTGGACTCTTGTAATTAGGATCGGATGGAGTAGTGAAGGAAATGTTAAGCTTTGAAAGTGACTCATATGATGGGTTTGTAATCATGTGAGATAGCATTCTTTTGAAAAACTTACTCTAGTCTTAGGTTGGAAAGAGATAAAACTTTGCCCCAATTTAATTCTAACCAAATTTCTCTATTTTTTCCTTTCCTTTTCTTTTTTCTCTTTTTTTATTTTTCTTTCTTTTTTTTCAAAGAAACAAAATTGCCCCAATATAGGGTTAGTGATCTTAAGGGATTGGCAAGAGAAAAAGGAAGGTTGTTTTAAAAAGTCAAAAAGGAAAAATTAAGGATAGGATATCGAAATGAAAAAATGAGAGAAAATCTGCCTTAAATTCGTCTCTTGTAGTAATTTTAAAGAAAATTTTTTATAATCAAATGAAAAACTTTTTGCACATGTCTGCATTGATTGGTTGTGAAAAAACTTGTCCGTCCATTTTCATAAGGATAAACACTCCTCCGGGCAGCACTTTTTTAACAATGAATGGTCCTTGCCAATTTGGAGAAACTTTCCTTTAGCCTCCTCTTGTATTGGAAGAATCCGTTTTAAGACCTTATCTCTGACTTCGAATAAACGAGGTTTAACTTTTTTGTTATTAACACGAGCCATTCTTCGCTGATAACATTGCCCATGACAGATAGCATTCAACCTCTTCTGATCAATTAGAGACAACTGCTCATAGAGTTTCCTGACCCATTCAGTTTCTTCTGTCTGAGCTTCCATCAAAATGCGTAAGGAAGGAATTTCAACTTATGCAGGCAATACTACTTCCATTCCATGCATAAGAGAGTAAGGAGTTGCACCGGTAGAAGTCCTGACCGTAGTTCTGTACGCCATCAATGCATAAGGCAGTTTCTCATGCCAATCCCAGTGTGCTTCAGTCATCTTATGAATGTTCTTTTTCAAATTCTTATTTGCGGTTTCAACGACTCCATTCATCTGAGGCCTGTAAATGGCAGAATTTCGATGCCTGATCTTAAACTGTTCATATAACCCATCTATGAGGTTCTTGGTATTATCGGTGATCAATGTCTCGGGTACGCCAAAGCGACAGATAATGTTATTTCTCAAAAAATCTGACACCACTTTCTTAGTCACATGCTTATAGGATGCGATCTTAACCCATTTAGTGAAATATTCAATTGCCACCAGAATAAATTGATGCCCATTTGAATCAGGAGAATCACTAGCTCCAATCACATCCATTCCCCACATTGAACATGGCCACGAAGCAGCCATACTATGCAACTCTGTAGGAGGAGCGCGTATAACATCACCATGCATTTAACATTTGACACACTTGCTGACAAAATCTATACAGTCATGCTCCATAGTAACTCAAAAATAGCCTGATCTCATGATCTTTTTAGTCAGTAGATGCACATTCATATATGGCCCACAAACCCCACTATGCACTTTCGTCATCATATAATCGGTTTCCTCTTCATTGATGCATCTCAGAAGGCCCAAATCAGACGTTTTCTTGTATAGCACTTCTCCATTCAAGAAGAATCTTGATGACATTCTGCGTAAGAAACTTTTTGCAACAGAATTAGCATCAGGAGAGTAGGATCCCGTTTTCATAAATTCCTTAATATCATTGTACTAGGGGCTAACATCAAAGACCCTTTTCATAACCAGACAATGCGCTAGCCTATCTTGAAGTTGAATCTATATAGGTTCAATCACCAGTTCATCTGGATGTTGGATCATTGAAGATAGAGTAGCTAAAGCATCAGCGAAGGCATTACGAGTGCGGGGAATATGTCCAAATTCCAAATTCCTGAATTTGCTGGCCAAGTTAAGCAAGCTACAATGATACAACATAATTTTTGAATCCCGAGATAACCACTGTTTAAGCATCTGGTGCATAAATAAATCGGAATCATTGAATGCTATTAGATACTTGATCTCCATGTCCAATGCCATTTTCAATCCAAAAATACAAGTTTCATATTCGACCATGTTGTTGGTGCAAGAAAATCGTAATTTGACAGTAGCAGGATAGTGTTTTCCTTCAACCGACACTAAAACTGCTCCAATTCCAACTCTAAAAGAATTTGACCCATCGTCAAAAAATAGCCTGCATCCAAGATACTGCTCACTCATGTCCTTAATTGCTCCAATAAATAGAATTTCTTCATCAGGAAAGTAGGTATATAATGGATGGTAATCATCATCTCTTGAATTTTCTGCCAATTGATCTGCTTTGGCTTGTCCCTTAACTGCCTTTTGTGTTGTGAAGATAATGTCGAACTCGAAAAGGGTTATTTGCCACTTAGCCATACGTCCCGTGGGTATCGACTTTTCCAACAGGTATTTTAGAGAATCAGAACGAGAAATCAGGTACGTGGTATAACTGAGCAAATAATGTCTCAATTTCTAAAGCACAATAACTTCTCTCAAGGAAAGAATAGTTGGCCTCATATGCTGTAAATTTCTTGCTCAGATGATAGATGGCTTGTTTCTTCCTCTCAGATTCGTAATGCTATCCTAGAACGCATTCAACAGTTTCATCAAGAACAGACAAATACATAATTAGAGGTCTTTCCAACTGATGTGGCATTAAGACCGGAGGATTTAACAAGCAATTTTTGATCTTATCAAAAGCTTGCTGACAGTCTTCATTCCAACCCATCGGCGCATTCTTTTTCAATAATTTGAACAAGGCTCACAGGTAGAGGTTAATTATGCAATGAATTGACCAATGAAATTGATATTTCCAAGAAAATCTTCACATCTTTTTGAGTTTTTGGAATGGGCATATCTACATTGCTCTTATTAAACAGGATCTATCTCTATACCTTTTTTGCTGACAACAAATCCCAACAACTTACCAACTGGAGCTCCAAAAGCACATTTTGCGGGGTTCAACTTCAAATTATACCTTATCAACTTTCAAACAACTTCTTTAAGTCAACCCAATGGCCCTCGAACTTCTTGGAGTTAATTATGATATCATCTACATAAACTTTCATTTTTTTATGGATCATGTCATGGAACAAGGTAGTCATGGTACTCTGATAAGTAGTCCCAACATTCTTTAATCCAAAAGATATCACTCGATAACAAAATATTCCCCATTGGGTAATAAAAGAAGTTTTCTCTCTATCTTCTTCTACCATCAAGACTTGATGATACCCAACAAAACAATCACCAAAAGATTCAATCTCGTGTCCAGCAGTATTGTTCAAAAGAATATGAATATTTGACAATAGAAAATCATCTTTCGGACTGGTCTTATTCAAATCTCTGTAATCAGCACACACTCGCACCTCCCCAGATTTCTTAAGCACTGGCACAGGATTCGAGAACCAGATGAAATAATGAGAAACCATGATTATCTTGGCATTGAATTGTTTCACAATTTGTTCCTTTATGTTAAGACTCATTTCTGGTTTGAATTTACATGGCTTCTGCTTTACAGGTGAAAATTTTGGATCAGTTGACAACTTATGAACCATTATATTCGTAGAGATCCCTGGCATATCATCGTATGACCATGCAAACACATCTTGAAATAGTATTAAGAATTCAATCATTTCCTCCTTCTGTTTCTTATTCAAATGAATGCTGACTTTAACTTCTTTAACCTCCGTCTTAGTGCCAATATTGATGATTCTGTTTCTTCTAAATTCGGTCTGGATTTCTTTTCATACTGTTTTAAATTCCTTAAAATGGACTCAAATTCTTCCTCAGTATCGCTCTCATTTTGAATTTCAGATTGCATGATTTCAAGTTCATGAGAGATATCGAGGTTGCAGCCATTGAATTTCAGAATGGTGACATTTAAAGGGTCAAAGAATTTTATTTGTGGCCATCTGAAAATAGAATAGAACATATGTAATAAATAAATAGAAAATAATTTAAAATGCAGGAGAAGTCTTCCATTTCATTGGATTCAAAATGCATCAAAATTTCACAAAATGACAAACATATAGATATGATTGCTATTTAAAGACATATATAGCCCAAATCTTTATTTCCTTTTCAGTAATTTTCTTGAACAAAACTATATTAACTGAAACGAAAATAAAGGCTCAAAAAATGAAAATAATTTCTTTTAACAAAAGATCCAAACTACCGTCCTATCTGGATATGAATCTAGACAAAAGAAAATCCCCTTAAATTTATCGAAATTCCCTTCGAGAGGAAAGATAATCAGCAGTCCAATTTTGGATAGCTCCTTCGGTAATTGGTAAAAATTCTGAATTCTCTGATGGCTCTTCATCACAAATAGCCCTGACAAATAATTGAGATAAATCCATTTCAACCTCTTCAACAGGATCCTCCTTTTCTAACAGAATCATCTCTGACGGGCGAGGAAATGTGTGCTATAGCAGTCGGACATATAAGACAGTTTGCTTACTTCCTTTTCAACTTGTTTTTGAGCTTGCATTTCTCTTCTATTCTTAGCAGTTGGATGAAATTCTAGTCCAAATGTATCTTTTTCCGTCGGGATCTCTATTGGTTCCAAAATTTCTTACAATTTTCACCCAAGATCTTTTCCTATTTCATATCTGCCTCAAATCATCTTTTTAGCCATCATGATATTAGCCTCTGGTAAATCTGATTTAGTCAGCGACTTATATCTGGATACCCATCCCATGGAGACAATATCAGCAATATGTTGAGATGAAATTCGAGTTCTTTTCCTGTCTTCACCTTTGAATTTTGCATCAACGATCATGGTACAGTCATCCTCAGCAAACACAGTAATTAACTGATCATTCACAATAAACCTCACCATTTGATGCAGAAAAGATGACACTGAATTGGAAACATGTATCCAAGGTCTTCCAAGTAAAATATTGCAAACACTGGAGAAATCTATGACTTGGCAAGTAACTGAGAATTGAGCAGGGTCTATCTCCAATACCAGATCTGTTTCACCCATAGATTCTCTCCTTGAACCATCGAATCCTCTAACCACAGTTGCAGACCGGCGGAGTTTGATGTCAAGAAATCCAAACTTAGTGAGTGTGTTCCATTGACAGATATTCAACGCTGACCAATTATCCACTAAGACCCTCAACAACAGCTTTTCATTGCAGCGTACTGATATATATAAGACTCTGTTATGCCCAATCCCTTTTGCAGTTATATCATCATCGGAGAAGGCGATATGATTAGCAACAAGTACATTTCCCACAATGTTAGAAAATTTATCTATGAAAATATCTTTAGGCACTTGAACCTCATTCAGGATTTTGAGTAATGCTTCTCTATGTAACTCGGAGGTCAAGAGAAAGTTCAAAAAAGAAATCTGAGCAGGCATCCTATCCAACTGCTCAATTATTTTGTATTCACTTTTCTTTAGCATCTTTAGAAAATTCATAACTTCATTTTCAGACACAAGAGGCTTGGTCGTTGGTGATTTAACCTTGGCTCTGGATTGAACATCGATTTTGAGGTTTTCCACAATTCTCCCACACCTGGTAATAGTACATACCTTCTCCTTCAAGCATTTTTTATCTCCAATCAACAAAATAGGCTTTTCGTAGTTCCATGGCACCTCTTGCAAGTTATTGACAGGTATTTATTTTAGAAATTCAAGGATAACCGGCTCTGATACATCCCATTCAAAAGATGGTAGATCCAGAATAAAAGGAGTTTTGGAATTGTCAATCTCGAAAGGCCCCCCTTCTACTATAAATGGCTCCTCTTTTTCAAACACAGGCGATTTCAACTTTTCCTCAACATTATCATTAGTCATGGACTTTCAGCAAACAGTAATTTCTCATTTTCGCGTGGTCAGTCTCCATTACGCCAAACACCTCAGTTTTATCTACAATGTACTGAGTGGGATCGATAAAATCTTCATCAGCGATGATAACCCCCATAGTGCTCCTATGCTCAGGTAAAGGATTCTTACTAACATTCGGTCCCTGTTCTCCCTTTCTTTTAAGAAGGATGTCTCCAGAGTCAATCATATCTTGAATCTTGTGCTTTAGAGCCTAACAATTGCCAGTGGTATGACCTGGACTTCCAGAATGATAAGCATAGATTGCTTGCGGATCATAACCGGCAGGAGGGCCTCTGGGATAGAGTTTGGGAGGAACGGTGCCAATTTTTTCAGGTGCTTTTAATTGCTCATACAATTGATCAATCGGTGGGTCCAAGTTGGTGAAGGTTTGAAATTGCTTCTGAGTTTGAATTTCGCTGGTTTGAAAAGGATTTTGAATGGGGTTATTGTTTTGTAAGGTTGGTTTGGAATGGTAAATGGGATGGGAGTGATTTTGAAAGATAGGTTGTAAGGTTTGAAGTAACGGTGAGGTATTCAA